AAGCAATAAAAAATCACGCAAAAGCGCCAAATGGACGAAGTATGTAAGCAGAATAGAAGCAGGTCCGCAATTCGGCGTTTAATAGTAGCGGCGTCATTGATCGCGCTTCTATCAGCTGGAGAGAACGGGTGTGTGTCAAGTCGTGCGTCCGAGGGGGCGCGCGGCAAATTGTGCGGCGAGGATCGTGGCGAATTTGGACGCCTACCTTCAGGGCCCAAATCTGAAGCAGGTCAGATTAGTAAGGCCAGCTGATCCTACTATACTACTGTACTTCGAAACTGGGCCCAAATAGCAGGCGCTGAGGTCGTCAGAATAGGTATGAGTTTCGCCGCGCCATTTGCCGCGCGCACCCTCGGACGCACGACTTGACCGTCCCCCAATCTGCCAACATACTTCATCCGTTCGGCGCTTTTGGACAGTATCCATGGAGAAAGGGGACAAGAAGCAATAAAAAATCACACAAAAGCGCCAAATGGGTGAATTATGAAGGCGGATTACAAGCAGGTGAGGGACGGTCAAGTCGTGCGTCTGAGGACGCGCGCAGCGAATTGCGCGGCGAAGCTCGAGACGAATTTCCGACTCTGTCGCCAATTTTCGGGGCACAAACTCGAAGTAGAGCAGTTTAGTAGGGTCAGATGATCCCCTAATCTACTTTACTTCAAATTTGGGCCCCAATGATAGGCGCCAAAGTGTTTCAAAGTCGGGTATGGGTGCATACGTGCGTCCGAGGATGCGCGGGGCGAAGTTTCTGGTGATTTGACGACTTCAGCGCCTAGATCACCTGACCCTACTAAACTACTCCACTTCGAGTTTGTGCCCAGAAAATTGGCGTCAGAGTCGTACCAATCGTCATGAACTTCGTCACGCAAGTTGCCGCGCGCATCATCGGAGCCGTTCCACATAGGAATCGCCTGAGCGGCGCGTTCTTTAAACTGCGCTTTATGGGAGGAGTAGGGCGCAAGTGGAAAGAAGTAGGGAGATTTCAATGTCCCGTGAACGTGTGGTACAGCAACCCACTAGTGCTTCATCACCCACTTCATGGGCTTCACCCAAGGTACTTTTGTATATCGTATATATGATGGGTATTTGGAGGTGCTGGGGCGTCTTCGGGCTACTTTGTAAAAATTCAAGGGACTTTGAAACCCGTCTTGTATGGAATGAGAGGAAAATAGGGCTTGATGTGGCATGTGAGTGGCCGTTCGTTCGGTGGTTGATAAGTTAGAATCAGATTTTGCTGGATGACTCGTGAATCTATGAAGCAACGAGCGGGCCTACCTACGAGGGAAGTTAAGATCAGTTTTACGCCCAGGTATAAGGTACTGCAGGGGAGGGGGAGGGAACGGTGACAAAAGCCCTTCGTTCCTAGCCATTTCCGTGCGATAAGATAGAGATGAGCTTTTACGACATTGGGTTTACTATTTAACTTGAACGCAGCTATCATGAGACTCTCAAAATCAAACGATGAAGGGACAGGCAGGGTGGATGATGAAGATGATGAAGAAAAGTGCATACGCAAGAGGAACCTCTTTCGCGAAGCGCCAATTGAATTAGCAATCGATGCTCCTTTGCATTAGCGCTGCCCCCCCCCCCCCCCCCCCC